GAATGAGAATATTGTTTCTAGAGTTTATAGAAACAAACATACAATAATAGTTTGCAACAATGGTAAATCAATCTTTCTCTTAATGATCTGAGTTTTCAAATCAACTTACCATTGTAGAAGTCATGAACACAAAGTTGTCAGAGACAGAGCTACCACTTTGTACAACCCCAGAATTCAACATGAATGTTGCCTCTTGAAGTCATGCAACGTGGAGTTCCTAAGAAACAAGAGCTCTGTTGCCGACTTGTGGACAGGACTGCAGCGAATGGTATGGAAGGATGTAAGATTCCATTGTGTTCAAATGCTGGACCTTGCTTTGCTTGTACTTACAAAAAAAAGAAATGTAGTTATGGCTTTAAAATTTTGGCCTTCAGTATAACATATTATACTTTATTATAGGGTCTTGTGAGAAACATACAATGCTTGGATAATATCAATTTAATCATAAATTTTACTCTTTTTAATTTTTCCTGGAAAACTTGACACAAAAGTCAAGCATAAAGTTTTGAGGGCTGTCGTATCTTAAGTCTGGAGAATAGGCCAGATGAACCCTGCATTCTAAGTCTTAACAATTCAACAGTGATATCACTCATAAAAGCTGAATAATTTTGGCTCTTTTTATCAGACAATAGCTTGATTGCATTCCTAGGTTTCTTGATTTAAGGAGCAAAGTGACAATAGCAGAAACGGGCACAGAAGAAAGCCCCAGGTTAGAAGATAAAGGCCAGGATACGTATGAAATCAAATGCAAGCACCCACTAAATATGCTACCAGGGTCTCAGCCCAGCTGATGGTTATGTCCCTGGCTGGGTAGTGGTGGTGGTGAGGAGGGTAGTTTAGCCACCCAATTTGACTTAGGTAAAGTTTTGGGAAAATTCTGTTGACATTTTCTGAAGAAAAGTAATTCAAATGCTGCTCAATTTTAAACACATGTTGAATTTTTGTTGAGAATACGATGTGAATTCATTATGTTCTTGAATATGTGACTTAATATATTTGAGCACTTTCTCTTCCAGGCATTGTGGTAGACACTGGGAATTCAACAGTGAAGAGACGCACGGAGCTCACATTCTAGTCGAGGAGGCTAGCAACTACTGAAATCATTGCTGAGTGGTTAGCTAATACAAAGAAAATAAACAGTGCTTTGATAGGTAGTAACAGTAATTTTAGATTGAATTGTCATGGAAGGTCTCTCAGGAGGTGACTTGGAAGGTGAGGATGGAAGGATGAAGAGTTAGATATCTAAAGAACTAAGGGGTAAGGAGTGTAGAACATTCCAAGCAAGGAGAATAGCAAGTGCAAAGACCCAAGTTATAAAAGAGCTTCACAGGTTGTTGTATGAGTAGAAAGAAGTCCCGTCTGGTTGAAAGCATAAGAGCAATGAAGAAAGTTCTGGAAGATAACATTGCAGGGCAGACAGAAGCCTGATCATGTGGGACAGTGTAGGGCATAGTAAGGATTTTATTCCAGGGTAATGGTAAATCAGTGAAGGCTTTTAAGCAAGGGAATAACATGTTCTGACTCTTTAAGATTATTCCAGCTGCTGGTTTTGAAAAAAAGATGGACTGAAAAGGAGTAAGAATGGAATCAAAGAGCCCATTTCAGAGGCCATGACAGCAATCTACACAGAGGTAACAGTAGTTTGGGCCAGAAGATTGGCAGTGAAAATGGTGAGAAACGGATGCATTTGACATTTATTTTGGAAGTAGAACTGACTTTTTGTTGATGGATTAGATATCGGAGAAGGAGAGTGTGAAGAGAAGGGCAAATTAAGGATTCTGGCTTGAAGGAAAAGTGGGAGAAGACAAAAGAAATTTTGGGGAAAAATCAAGTGTTTTTGGTTTGGGACATATTAAATTTGTGATGCCATTGTTATTGGCAATATATTGAGTTTTCAAGAGGGAAAATGTAGAGCACCATTTGATAATACATAGAGACAGCCAATACAAAAAGCCAGCACTGAGTAGAACAAGAGAGAATGAGAACCCAAAGGAGGCAGGAGTAGGGAATGTTAATCATAACGCAAAAATAGGTGAGTTCTGTGATTGGGGAATAGTTGGAATCAGGGGTAGAAAAAGGAAAGATGAAGGAAGGTGAGCAGTAGCAAGAAACCAGAGACAGGAAACTGAGCGGGAAAAAGAGAAAGAGTGGAGAGAAGGTATAAAGGACTACTGGATTTTTTTTTTACACTAATCTGCAGAATTTATTGGATGACTGGATGCCCAGTGTAGTAGGCTGAATAATGGCCCCCAAAATATCCAAGCCCTAATCCCAGACCCTGTGAATGTTACCTTATATGGAAAAAGAGACTTTGCAGATGTGATTAAGGATCTTGAGATCCTGTATTATCCAAATAAAAACAAAAACAAAAACCAAACCTATTGCCTTCGAGTTGATTCCAACTCATAGCCACCCTACAGGACCAAGTACAACTGCCCCATAGGGTTTCCAAGGAGCGGCTGGTGGATTCAAACTGCCAACCTTTTGGCTAGCAGCCGAGCTCTTAACTGCACCACTGGGGCTCCTGTATTATCTAGGTGGGCCCTAAATGCAATTATAAGTATCTTTATGAAGGGGAGGCAGGAGAGATTTGACTACAAAGAAGGCAATGTGACCACTGAAGCAAGATGCTGCACTGCTGGCTTTGAAGATGGAGGAACCAGAGTACAAACAATGCAGCTCTAGAAGCTGGGAAAGGCAAGGAAACAGATTCTCCCCTACAGCCTCTGGAGGCCCAGTGAAGCAGATTGCAGACTTCTGACCTCTAGAACTGCAAGAGAATAAATGTGTGTTGTTTTAAGCCACCAAGTTTGTGGTAATTTGTTACAGCAGCCATCAGAAACTAATGCACATGGGAAGAAAAGGATTGCCCTCATCTAGGTCTACCTGCACTCCTATCCATCGGAGAAATGGGACAGTTATGACTGGTGCTCTTGCAAAGGTACAATTTTAACCATAATACAGTAGATTCATCATTGATTCAGTGTCTAGTCCTCAGCACTGTATATTTAAGAACACATACAGTCTCCTTGGTTCATCAGGTGTGATCAGATTAAGGAGGACTAACATACACTAACCTAGCTCACAAAAGAGAAATATAAACCAGAACACCAATGTATTGGTTTAAGCATGGAAATATAAATACTAAGTGTACCAGCTTATTCAGATCAGCAAGTGAATGCTGTTTGGTGTTGCTTGGGAAACACAAAGCCAGAATGAAGGCAACTGGCTCACCTTGATGACTAATGTTATCAAAATCTCACAACCTGGTATACTGACTAATCTTAATTGGATTACATATTTACATCAACAAGGCAGTTCCCTTCTCTATGGCTGTGCTGGGACATACTCACAAATTCTGACTTGTAGGGACCACCTTTGGAGTCCTCAAAGGTTGTCATCATATTGTTTCAGCAATATTCCTTCAGATGTGCTATTATGATTAAATGTCAATTTATATCATCTCCTTGGAAACTTGGGCTGTAGTCCCATCAGGAATGCATTTATAAGCCACCTATTCATTCATTCATTCATTCCTTACTAAGTGCCAGATATTGTTAGTAATTGAGACATGAAGACAGGTAAGATAAAGGCCCTGTTCTCCAAGAACTTGATGATTTTTTAGTGGATTAAAAGCTGTGTATTTCTTCTGTAGATAGCTGATCTCATTCATTTATTTCAAGAACGTCATTTTTGGAGGATAACATTTCCTTACCCTCATTGTCGTGTTTAGAGATGGTCCTATTGGGACTTATAAACCAGTCATATCAGTCCAATGAAATCCTATTAGTCCAACAATTTTAGTCATATCCTATTTTATCTAAATAGTAACATTCCATTAGTCCACCCAAGTGTGACGAAGGGCCTGCTGGCATTTAAACAATCTCAGTGATGTCAGCATTGCTACAAAAGAGAGGATAGATGACCATAGATATCTGTCAGAGATGACACAGAAGAGATGTATGCACTGGGTGGTCCCTTCCAACTCAGACTTTTAGTCTATCAACAGTGATTCGCATTGTCATTGAACACATTTAAGTCTTCTCAAGTCGAAAATTTAAAGCTCTTCAAGAAATCATTAAGTCACAAGCATGTCATCTACTCTGGCGTATATACATACATATATATATATATACACACACTTTGTTGCACATCTAATCAATACTTTTCTGGTTATGGAGCTACAGGACCTTCATAGTTAAAAGACCATTATTTGATAGACTTGCCTTCTTGGTTAGATATTGCTGATATCAATCAATCTGGTGGTTTTAAAGTCAGAATAAACTGAAAAACTAGTATAAGTAGTTAAGACGAGTGGACAAGGAGTCATTTTCTGTGTGACCTGGAACAAATCACTCATCTCTCTCGGCCTCAGTTTCTTGGTTTATAAATGTCTTAAATTCATGATTTCTTTAGTCTTCCCAGCTCTAAAATTCAATGGCTGGGAAATATAATCAGAGAAAGTTAAAAGTTCTTTTGCTTATTTGTAGGGAGTCAGATCCATTTTATGGGAATCCACTGAAGAATTATTTTAAACAAATTTGATTTTGAATAGTTTATCAAGTAGATGCCGTAAGTATTCATTCAGTAATTTTACTTTTACAAATTCATTCAGCAAGGATCCTTGCCCTTACAGAGCTAATCCTTAAATGGGAGGGAGAGGTATCCATTAAATATAGACACACACAAAACCTACAACTTTTTTGTGTGACAACTAATTTCAATTTTATTTTTACAAAAAGGAGACTGGAAAGTGGGGGGGCGGCAATAATGCTTGGTCACGCCCAGGGAGTGGGGAAGAAGGCTGTGGCCACAATGGGTCAGACTGCTCTTCCTTGCCTTTACTGGCAATGGCAGTGAACAACAAAAAAACGTGCAACATGACAGAAGGCTTAAGGTCGTCAGTTTGTTTAGGCCATGTCAAAGGCAGGGGAGAGGCAGGCCATCTGTCCAGTCCCCTCCATGAAGAGAGAAAGGTCCAGGTCAGTCTATGGTGGCCTTTACTCTGGATGGGTTGGGGCCAGCCTCTTTGAAGGTCTGCGTCGCCATTGCCAGTTAGCGTAAGGACCCCGAGGACGATATCGGGGGAAACGCCTATGAACCACGGGGGCACGCCGCTGATAACAGGGTGTTGGGAGGAGGGGCATAGGCGGCTGGGGACCAAATGTAAAGTTTCCTTCCATGACAAATCCTGTGTGGGCAGGTAAGGGGACATCCAAGTAGAAAGAGTTGACAGAGAATTGATCCGACTGGAGAGGCTGGTTTGAGAAAACATAGGAATCTTGGTCACAGGGCGGGAACTGGGGCATCTCCTGGCGAAGGGGAATGGGATGCGACTGTGGGAAGGAAAATGACATGGGCATAGGTGCTCGGGGTGGGGTTGAGGGTAGGAGCGGGCGCAGGGATCTGCAGTGGCGCAGAGGCAGCGGTAAGGGTAGGGGTAGAGGTGGGGGTGGGGGTGGGGACGAGGACGAGGACGAGGACGAGGACGAGGGCGGAAGCAAAGCCAGTTCATCTCTGCTAGCCTGGGGCTGCCTCTCAACCCCCTGGCCAGCTGGCCTCCTCACCGGACCATTTTTGATCCACTTGCTCAAAGGGTCTCGGTGGGGCAGCTCCACACCCCAAGCATCGGCCATGTGGGCCAGCAGTAGCTGCGACAGGTGCCGGTGCGCACGTTCATTCCAGTGCACGCCATCTCGCTGCCGGTGCTGCCCCGAGTGGCGGAAGTGGAAATGCAAATCCAGCACATCGAAGCCATGTTTCCTTGCCTCGGCAAAGCTGTAGAAGTTGGCTTCTACCACATCTACATGCAGGGAGGCGCCACAGAGCTGTTGGTCCGGCGGAAGGAAGCCCCCAGTAATTTTTTCACCCACCGGCATAGCCGTGTTCCACACCAGGAGGCATTCCTTCGGTAGCACCTGGTCCAAGCGCCGGAACAGGCTCTCCAGGTTCTCCCGGTAGCAATTCCAGGAGTCCTGACCATACCTGGAGAGGTCCCAGAGGCAAGAGTTCATGATGAACACATCCGGAGCATACTTGCCAGACAGCAATTCTTCCAAGATGGCTTCAAGGTACTCAGAGTACACGCGCGTGAGGAAGTAGAAGCGCACCAGGTGGTGGCCGGAGCAGAACTCGCGGACCTCTCGGTACTGGATCCCGTTGTGCATACGGCCCTTCTGGCCGCCCTCCACCAGCTCGTCCTGTTCGAAGCTCAGCTCCCCCTTGGCCTTTAGCTGGGTAGGGGTTAGCAGGCAATCCTTCTGCAGCAGAAGCACCAGGTCCTTGTACACAGCCCTCTGGATGGAGTCCCCCAGGACGACCACGAACTTGTTGTGGAGCAGCTGCCGGACTTCGGAGGAGAGCAAGTGGACCATGGTGCCGAGGGCAGGTTGCCAGATCCTCCCTTTGCACACGGTAGGGCTGCGGATTGCTAGGACGGAAGGAGAGAGCTGCTGGGAGGAGTCCACCAGGGCGCACAGCGGAGGAGAGCGTGGGGAAGGGGATGGAACCTTGGCCTCAGGACTTAAGGGACCAGGGCCTGGGGTGTCTTTCCGCCAGGCCTGGGAGGTAGGGAGAGAGGACAAGAAGGGAGTCACAAGCCCTAGTAGGGAAAAGCCCCAGCTTAGGCCCGGGCCTTGACCTCTGAGCCGCCCGCGGCTGCTCCTGGAGGCCCAGGGCACCACCTGGAGGGAGGGAGAGGAGAGAGGAAGGGCGGGATTCCACCACGCCCCGCCCACCCCCCCTCATTTGAGGTGAGGTCAGGATGCCCCCCCCC